GGGGGGGCGGGGTAACCTGAAAACAAAACCCATTTAGCGCTCATGGAATTAAATGATTATTTTGCGTAAACTATAACTACATTCTATAATTTTTCTAAAAGGACTACAGCAAAAAGAGATTGCTATTTCTGCCATCCATCTCCCTCTCGTTAATTCTCTCAGTACTCTCTTAGGACCTCACAGGACAATAAAGGCAGCTATAAGTATAGGTGGCCAAGGTGAAACATGCTCCTAGGAGACTCTTGTCAATTATCCCTTTTAATGAAGTACAGAAACTGAAAAGTCAGAGATAGATTGTTACCGCTGTCTTGAATAATTCACTCTCTAAATTACCTTGCTGAACCACAAGGGCTACCAAACAGCAATAGAAACACTGATAAACAATTTGACTGAGTGATATCAGGAAGCTTTCTTCATTAGCCCATTATAGGTTTATGATCAATAATTCATTCGGCCCAAGAGGCCCTAAGTTAGCCAGACAATATTGATCAGGAACCACAACATGGCTGGTGAGCTCTTCAGTAATGTAACAGCAAGCCTGTATGAAGTAAGACCATTCAAACTTTAAGACCCACTAGTTCCATCATAAATGAATCTTGGGATGCCAGGATTCCCCTGAAAACCACAGGGAATTTCACCTGGTTAAACAAGTTAAATGAACAAAAAATAAAACATCATGTAATTTCCTATTTATCACTTCAGGTAAAAAAAAAATTGTGTGCCTGGATCTAGTGTTTCATGTTAAAACTTGTAAAACAAAAAGTCTTTCTCCATATGTATTTGGCATCACAGGAGGACAAACTGAAAAAAAGCAATGGCTACATTTAAATACTTAAAAAATTAATTAAAACCCTATCCTGGAAACCCATTTTATGTAATGCGTATGCTCAATACAGTACAACTTCACAATGAGTTATTAAATGGGCAATGCACAGGGAGATAACTGACTATACAGTATAGTGTCACATGTGCCAGTTCTATTGCTGCTGCCTAAAAATGTATAATGCTGCACATACCATGCAGCTCAAACCATAAAATCCAGATAAATGTGGGCTACCTCACAGCAACAGTGGCATCAGGTCCCACGGTAACGCACAGATGGCTGTCACCACCAAAATAGGGTGCTATGGACCTAGATATAGTATTTTGCATCCTTAGTGTCACTATATGTGACCTTCATTTAATTAACAGCCAAAAATGCTCATAACTAGGGACGTGCAATTAAAATTACAGAGATGAATAGATGTTAAAAATAATGCTTCTATCCATCACATTATTGGTCTGTGGTGTTTGTGTAGGCTTTGCATTATGTGTATTATAATGTTAATTACACTATAATAACATTACATGTATGTGCACTACAGGCAAGTGGAATGCAAATAAAAACACATCCAAAACGTTCACAAGTACACAAAGATGGATTATGAAGTAAGAAAGACAATTAGATACAGGAAAATTGAACTCAATGATTCATAAGGGTGCACTGATAATGGTGAGATTATCTTGAATTCTGCTGTTAATAACGCAGGCAACTTCCCACACTCCTTCAAATAAATTCTTTTAAAAGGAAACAATCAAATGCACAGCTCATGAGGAAAGAAACCCAAGAATAGCTTTGAATTAAGGATGACTGCAGCACAATAACAGCCACTTTTCTAAAATCAGATTAGAAGTTTATCGAGGCCATGGGTGAATAAAAATGCTAATTAGTAAATGAATATATATATATAAAATAAATAAATAAATAAATCTGAAATAGTTGCTGCTGAGAAACCATATGGTAAAACCTTCTTGCAACGCCTGAGTAACTATGTTTGGTTTTGTTTGTACAAAGTTGGAAGTATAATAGCTGTAGTTCCATGCTGTTAAGCTGAGAACTGTTTGTGTAGCTGACTGTGCACTTTCACTAACAGGCCATTTCAGTCATTAAAAATCCAATGTTTTCCAGGAAAGCTGGCGCTCCAGTCATAATAAGCAGATTACAAAAAGCTGCCTCTAGCTCCCTTACCACCAAGTCCGGGTCCTGCATTAGGCTCAGGATGACCTCATAGAGTAAAGGTCGAAGATCAGATTTGAACTTGACAGAGATCCACTGTCCTATTAGCCAGATGACTCGTCGTCGAATCAACTTGTACCTGGAGTGGAGAGAAGAAGAGAAACATAAGATGAGAAATACTTAAACAGGCTTATCCACACTCGTCATCCATATCATAATTTAGCTGGTTCTTATGTCCACCATGTAGCTACACTACTTAAGGGATCAATTAAAAATAAGTGGCCAGCTATTCAAATGATGAAATCAGAACTGTCACTACTTATGACTCATCCTGAAATTTATTTTATCAGTGGCTTGCATATGCTGGAGACTGCAGTATAATTTGTGCTCTGAGGAAGAGTGCCATATCTCTGTCCCTCTAATACACATATCAAACTCCAAGACTATGTCTAATTTGGCCCACATTCTGGCTGTGCACATTTCAGTGTGCATGTTTATGTCACCAGAATAGAAATTAGAAAGCAGAAAAAAATGGCATGATTACACAAGATTATGGGGAATCCATTACACATAAAACTGGTTTCAAACATGACTCAAGGGACTGAGAAAAACAAAACTAGGTGAAGAGGGTTTGTTAAGCATACAGCTTTATTTATGGTTCTGCATTTCATCTTCACAGAGCCTACACCATAAAAGATACAAGTGGCCTAAGCTATTGTGAGCATGTATACTTGTGTGTTTGTGTGTCTGTGTCTTTTACTGAAATTACTGCAACACAGATGAGAGAAGTCGTTGGAGGAGATAATCTGTACACCCCATGACCTAACTAAGGCTACATGTTGTGTACGGTGTAGGTATGGCATAGATTTAATGCAGAACCATAAATCAAGCTCAAGTGTTTTGTTTACATTTGTTTAAATGAATGCATGTGAGCAAAAGACACAAAGCCTGTGAGACACTGAAACCACTGACAAAAGACCATGTAAGGGAAATGGTCTGCTTACATAACTAGAAGAGTCAAAAACCACTGGGGTTAAGTAGTCTGTGACATGAATTACAATGACCTATGCTGTGTGTCCCAAATGTGAGGCAATGCAATTTGGGAACTGATGGATTTTCAACAGTTGTATTGGGCTGGCAAGAAGTGTCCCTTGGCATCTGTCCATGTTTGTATCAGAGTCAGAAATTGTATCCAAGGACCCCCTTGACAGAAATGACCGGATGGAGGAATAAAGGAACAGAGAGATGTGAGGATTAAGAATAGGAGGATGACACTCTTGTTGGCTTCTTGTCAAATATACACAGGGAGCCAGAGACCAAAGACTGGGCTACGAGCCAGAATATACTAAACAACAGCATGACTCAGGACTTGGGAGTTGGAAAACAATGGCACAGTTTGAGAGCGTATGTGTGTCTATGTACACAGATGCGCAGGAAAAGAAAAAGAGCTGCTTGTTTTTGTAAATTGAAATTTGCTTTAATTTTAAAATAAATTTCAAATAAATATTTACCAAGAAGTAGTTTGAAAGTTAAAACCTAGCCTGGAGATTACCATCACTAACAACATTGAGCTTAATACCATTTGGACATGATATCTTAAATGGATACAAAATAAAAATAAAGCTCTTAGGCATTCCTAGGCTCAACTACTCACAAACAGTGGAGTATCCAAGGAGAATAAACTAGCATTCAATTACTTTAAAAGGAGAGCAAATACAACCAGAACAATCTGATTTTTATAAGCTTTTATGGCGACATTAACGTATGAGATGATTCCAGCATGACAGAGCAGGTATGACAGTGCTGATGGACAACAGCCACAGGCACATTCCCAAAGCTCTCTCCATAATCAGGTTCCAAACAAAAGCTTGGCACCGAAATTGTGATACTGAGATAGCAAATCGGCGACATCAAGAACAAATAATCAAATTGATTATCTGTTGCCACACAAATGCTTATACAAGGTAAATGTGGGGGACTGCTACTTTTGGTGTATTCTTTAAACAGCGAAAACACATTTTAAAAACATTTTTTCTACATAAAATTAGGAAATATGTTAGTGTTTAGTGTTAATTCTGACATCATAATCCATATGCTGATTATTTATGGAATCTGCTGGATATATGAAAATTTGGCATTCCCAAATCTGCATACAATACAAGAGCAGTGCATGTGCATGACCATGAGTGGCAAACACAAGGTATCTGCTACAGCCAGGAGACTACAGCTGGTAGTGGTTATGATTAGTCCCAAGTCAAAGTGGACAAAAAGAACAGAAAGGCAGATGGACAGGTAGGCTGCCCATCAAAAATTGGACATGATTTGTCGTCCCTAATCTGTCTCCTCTGTAGCTTCACATAGCTGTCAGCAACCTTGCTCATACCTGCTCATCCTTCTGGTAAACACATAGAGAACACATGCAGACAAAATACAAAAAAAATAAAAGCACACTCCTACTTTTGCATTATCTTTAAACAAGATGACACACAGTCTCCTGGCTGTAGCAGATACCCTGTGTTTGCCAGCCGGGTACTCTAGACTGCCACACACGGCCGGAGGTCGATGATCGACTCTGTGGTTGTTACATCTAACCTCTAGCCGTATGTCTTGGACACTCGGGGGGATAGAGGGGGGGAGCTGT